ATTAAAAGGAAAGAGTGAGCTGACTTTAAAGTTGCTTTTAGCAATATCTGATGTACATCATCCTTACCCAGGTATTTAAATAATAATAATAATAAAGTTACCAGGGATTCCTCTAGTTATGCTGTAATAACTATTGGTGCATCTCAATGCAATGCATGCTCCAAAACATTATGACCACAAACATTACATCTCTCGTAAACGTAATAACAAGACCCCACCATATGAAATTGTAACTTTGCAGTACTAATATCTGAGAGACTCTCCTTAATACTGTTCATGCCGCTTCTCACACACTAAACCACTAAAATTTAATGTCCAAAAACCATTTATAGGCTAAGGGATTATTTTTATTCTGATTCTCATCGAACAAGAAGAGTTGCATTATTGTGTCTAGATACAACCTTTGAATTGGACATCCAACAATCTGACTTTCAAATAATCTCTTAAGGGGGTTTTAAGTAGGAGGTCTCCACATTTTTAGGAGGTATTTTTTTTCCTGGAAACTTAGCTGCTAGATGATTTTCAATCTAAGCACCAGTACAATAACTTGAATAAAACGACAGATACACGTGTTAAATAAATGAAAGCATTTTAAAATAGTTATCTACATTTTTAATCAATTTATTGAAATAGATTTAAAAAAATCTTTTATTCAATTTTATCCATCGAAAGTATTCGCCAGCAAGTTAAGCAATGCCAAAGGGAAGATGATCAGTATGCTCTGCCACGAAGTTTCTCTGCAGGTTACCAGTCAGATTTTACTATGCTAAAATTATTTCATGATTGACTGTACCACAGAAAACAAAATAAACCAAACCCTACAATATTTCTATGTGATTTTTACTACATGAATTCAAAAGGTGAATTCATGCTTTGAAAATTAACTATGTTGAGTTGGCATTTGTCAAGTCGCTGCTAAATAGTTATTCATATCTACTGAATTGAGACCCTTGGTTGAAACAATTGATAGTTTTTATTCAATTCTTTAGACCTTGCTATTAAGTTTAAAGGTTTAGACATTGTACAACAACATGGAGATTTCCAAAAAGCCTCTCAAAAGAAAGGCAAAAATGCTTCAACAGTACAGTTTTAAAACTGGAACATTAATTTATTTTTATAAAATAAATAAGTCAGCAATGTGGGATAGGATGACATTTGTATTTCAATTTATTTTATTCCCATTAGTTTTTAAGTCTTATTGTTGGAAAAAAAAAAGTACTACTATCTTGAATTAATATGTAGTGGGAAAAGGTTTTCTTTGCCATCTGCTGCAAAACTGAAATGCAAATAGCTTTTCCTCAAATCTGCTTGGTATTCAACTGCTTGGAATAATACACTTGAAGGTCGATTAATAAAAGGTATAAAATGCTTTAAAAACTCTAAAACTGGGCAGGTACACAGTAGAGTACCTTAACATAAATCACCACTTAAGCCATAAACGCGCATCTCACAGAACAAAACCCATACTGCTAATATATGACAGGATTTACTTACAGAGTATTGTCCGTGGGCTTTATGGTCGCTTCCAAGGAGTGAATATTCTTCCTTCTCAAAGTCGAAACACCAAGTTACAAATTTGTCAAATTTCCGGCGCCATGTTGGCTTATGTTAGCTAACAGCTAGCTTATCCCGACGGCAACCTAACAGCTAGCTGTGTTTTAGCTCTGCTTTATATCGGATTGATTATACTGATTATAATTGATCAGTTAAAAGTTTAATTTGTTACATTTTCACATACTCCGTTGTTTACTTGACGTAAACGATAGAATCAAGAATCGGATGCCACGACACTGAAGTTAACATAAGTTTGTTGCACCGTAGTCATGGACTACACAAAAACTACGGAAGAGGATTGGACAAACTAAAATAGTAAAGTATTTTTTTTTTTTTTTTTACTATTTTCAATTAAGGTTGTCTTCTTAAATATAATTTATGAAAACAGTTGCATTCTATGTTTCCGGTGTCAATAGGAAATTAATGCTATCGGGAGAGACCAAAGATGTGCAGTGATATTGTTTTTAATATTTTTGTTTTATTTATTTTATTTTTTTTTGCATAAATTGTGCAGTTCTATGGCCCCAACTGCATTAACGTAAAGTCAAATAATGTATGTTGTTATCATGTCGAGTTCACAGATGATGGGTTTAATTTGCTATATTTAAGGTGCAGTTTTAAAACCGTCAGTCGGTTTTTGTATATTTGTTCAATTTTGACTGTTATTGTATTTAAGTGTTAGTAGTCTTTTTAGCCAGCAGGCGTCGCCACACACTGACCTTTATGATGATTTTGCTTGTAACATGCAATCCTTGTGATTGGTGGTTGCAGGTCTGGTGAGATCCTTTCAACCTGCTGCAGCTGTAGATTTGCAGACTTAACACAAAATACGGATGTGAGTGTACATGCGTGTGTGTGTGTGCCGGGTGCGCGGTGAGGTGAGGGGATGTGTAGATGAAGACAATCTGACTGACTGGAAGGTCAGGTTTTAAAAGCTGGCAGTGTTTGCTGGTTGTAATAATAAACTCACTTAAAAATATGTTTATAGTGACGTGTGTGTCTTTAAAGAATTAAAGTTACTAATTGTAATTTAAACCCTATTCTTTTTGAAGGTGTAGCTGAAGTTTTTCTTCTGTTCATTTCTCTATTTATGTTTATTCAGCAGCCAGACAGTCTTGTAATTTTTCAATAGTTCTCAGAAGGTGAAATATACGTTTAATTTTTTTTTCCTTTGGATTCTGGCTGCTTCTTAAAGTGTGATTCTTGAATTGTAATTATAGTGTAATTTTTTTAGAATTTAAGGTAGGATAAGTCATACACTGGAAAAACATAGTGCTTCTAATCAGATAAAAAACTATGTTTTTTGAGAACCAAATTTTTAAGTGCGTGCATTAGAAATAAAACTCTCTTTATGAATCCATTCTGTTGCTTTAATCCATTTTAATAAATAAATAGAGAAAAATAGGTTCACAATCCAGGTTAAAATACAGGTCAGCAGACATTAAGAGAGACAGGACGCAGGAACAAATAACTTTATCCCTCATTTTGCACGGGTTTGAAGCTTTCATGGCTGATGAGATACGAGTCATAATAGGATTTTCACGTGACGGGCGCTCTTTTTTTAGGCTGGGAGCGAACAATCACATGTCAGTGACAGTCACTGGATGCTGTTCGTTGAGCAGATCCTGCTTCTCTTCATAACAGTGGAAAAATATAGCACAAACAGGGCAGTTACATGGTAAAATAATACTACACAAAGGGACTCTTCAGCTACACAGTAAAAAGTCATTGTGTGATGGCCTGAATCTACACGAGTCCCCAGATACTGCTTGCAGAAAGCTACCGGCTACAGTGTTCACGCTGTGTGCAATTCATCATTCAGTGGGTTATTATTAACAGTTGAGCAAAAACAATGGCTGTTCTGTCAGACCCAAGACACCTGGAGGTATATTGTGATAAATATCTGCAGTAACATGCAAAGTCCCACACATCTGTTCAGATAATTAATATCTTTGTCTTGTTATAAAAAAAATAAATAAAAAAAAATCATACCCTTAAGAAAAGAAAAGTTATGGAAATATTTTCAAAACAAAAACTACAGGAGACCTGCATCCCTGTTATTAATACACAACAAGCTATTAAGTTAATAAGACTGTGGACAGAAGAGAGCAGCAGATCACATGTCTCCCCGAGTCTCAGGCGTGTAGCATACAGTGTCATATCATATCATAACAGTCTTTATCATAAGAGCTTATGTTAAGAGCTTGGAAACCGGTGTGACAACATATGCAGCAGAAAAGTGAAACGCTGGACAGTCGATAAATCACACCATCTTGAAGTCAAACCAACCCTGCAATTGGTTTTCCTTAACGATTTGTTTTAAACCACACACTCACCAAATACTCCATTCTAGTTAATCCAATTAATCTTGAAGAAAAACCTTGCCACTTAACATGTTTCCCCCCCCCATGTATTTGGGTGTAAAATACATATCTCCCATCCAAGTCTAAGGATCTCCACTGGAGATTAAAGCAAACGCTTCTATCGAATATTTTGTTCTACAGAAAACCCAAAGCTGGAGGGACAAAGCAGTCCTGGCACAAGAAAGTATACCCCTTGTTAACAGCTTCCCATGTCAGGCCATGATAAAAGATGTTTTTTTTTTATGTCAGACATAGTTTCTAAATTGTTCTAAATCTAACCTAAAGTGTAAAAAAGCCTCCCATTGAGACACAGATTAAAACTGTCTCAATATTTGTTACACAAGGTCAAGGTAAAATCAGCAAAGCCGTGTGTGGAAAAACTAAGTACACTTTAGGGCTGCACAATAAATGACACATCTATCATTTTCGTAATATCACTGCTTGCACTATGCGTATTACTCGAGGCAATAAGTGTTAGCTGATTATTTAAGTGCCATGCATTTCATGCTCCCTATGCCTGATTTTCAATAAATTAGAACATGAATTCTGATGAGGCTCGCTTGTCAGATTAAAAGTACCTTTTGAGAATCTTTCAGTAGGTAATAAACATACTTTTTATTGAGCCCACATTTCTGTAATATGATGTTTTTAATTGGTCTCAATGGTCTGATGTATTATAATTTTAAATGCGTTTTCATGTAAAAAAAAAAAAAAGAAAGAAAAGGGAAAATCATCACAACAGAAAAAGAATTGAAAACATCCGAGAGTTACTGAAATGAATTTTTCAGTAATACTGAAGAGACAATGATGACTGAGTTTTAGAAGGTTTTTGCTGATGAGATGGGAATAATGAACTCTGTATTTGTTTTGATAGTTGGACTTGCTATCTGGGGTCTTCGTTCAACCCGAAGCATAAAGACATTGCAGTAATACTTCTATACAAGCAAGAAGCTTTGGTAATTTGCTGCTCTGCTGACACCATGCCAACGCAACAAGACTTAAGCTATGACTGTTGAAAATTCATTGTTTGTACCCATTAATCTGAGAACGATTGTAAGATCTGTTATTCTCCAATGAGAAATATTTTTTTGTATGGAAAACATTTAAGACAGTTGCCTATCTTCTCAGTAAATTCATGTCAGGTTTAGCCCTTGCAATCCTGTACACACCTAAGTTAGCATGCTAAAATATTAAAAATTATGACAGGAGAACAGAAAAAAAAAAAAAAAGCCTGAACAAGTTTGTCCTTGTTTGGAAAAGTTGAAGGAGAAAGCTTCTCCTCTTTAAAATTAATGTCGCAGCATGAAAGCGGTTTACAAAGCTGCATCTGAGTTAATCACAAAATGTCAAGAGGACTGGGGCTGCAGTAAGATGTTTCTCACAATGCTAAGCACTGCGCGTATTGAACACCAAAGTACAGCGCAAACGCCTCACTCCAGTTATCAAGCACGGTGGTGAAGGGGTCGTGATTTGGACTGCGATGATTTTACACCCAAATACAGAAAGAAAAAAAAGCATCAGATCTGTTTTTTTTTCTGCAGTAAAATGAAAATGTCTTCAGTTTTTCACATTTTCTGGTGTATAATCTAAAATATATTTGAGAAAATAGTTGGCAGGTGGCTGATGACGCATCTCGCTGATAACATGCAGCACAGTGGATCTGCTCTGGACTGGACCGACTGCAGTACGAATCCGTTTAATCTTCATAGGCACCTTCGAGCAAACAAAATGGTCTCTAGCTTATGTAATAAAATAAATATTGCCCTCATATTTCTCTCACTAACTTCTTCAAGTCCATAGAGGTTGGAGCAGTTTTGTCTTGAAGCTACAAATGAACAAACAGTATTTTTATTTTTTTTATTCTGCAGTCTCTCCTTCACACAGCAGCAAATGGAAATTAAGTCCTTGGTACATCTCACTGTTGACTCTTACTAAAGTAATGTTTATTACATGAGCACACTGTTGGAAGTGGGTGTTTGTGAAGCTGTACAGGCGTGTTTGCTTGCTGAGAGCTGTTTTGCTCATCGTCTCTGAAGAGTTCAGCTGCGTGCCACTTCACAAGGTCTGTGTTCGGGCTTCAACCACCTGCTGACTGCTAAGCAGCCCGCGTGTCCCCAGAGAGAGCGACCCCGAAGCCAACGTTTGCTACAGCACGTGGCAGCAGTTGTACTGAGCCAGCGGCAGGATCTTGGGCTTGTTCTGTGAAGGTATGTTGAAGGCCAGGGCTTTCTCGCACAAAGGGAACTGGAAGAGTCTGTCTCGGAGCCTGATGCTGTGTCGTTTCCCCTGCTCTGCCCTCGGTACCGACTCGTCCCGGTTCCCTTGTGGATTTTGGGCCAGAGACTTTGCAGGGGACTCGTTCTTCTCGTTCAGTTCTTCCTCCCTTTCCGTTTTCTCCCTCAGGCTGGCGGAGGACGCAGAGATGCAGGACTGACAGGATTCAGGAGTTGGGAGGAGTGGGGGCGGTTTGCCCGTGTTGTTGTTTGGCTCCATCTCTTCATCCTGCCCCTCATTCCTGTTCGAGATGTTCAGCTGACAACAAGAGACCCGGAAAGCTGGTGAGGACGGAGTGACTTCGGATGCCAGAGTGACTTCAGATGTCTGACTGAGTGTCTCATCCCGGTGACTGACCGGCTGATCTGAAATCACACAGCCGCTGTCTTCGTTTTCTCTCTGCATCTCCTCTACTTTTTCCTCTTCTGTATTTCCTAACTCTTCCCCTTCTTCCACGCACTCCAACCCATCCTCAGCCTCCCCTTCCAGTTCTCTCAATTCTTCCCGCTCTTCTTCGTCCTCGTCCTCTTCCTCCTCTTCACAGATCTGCTGCAGTGCAGGAACGTTCTTACCCACAGGAGGCTCTTCAGCTGGAGCGGGTCGGAGGCTGAAGCCGAAGCTGGGCTGCCATGTGCCAGGAAACGCCTGCTGAGTGGGGGTCCTCATAGCCAGCAGATCCCCACTCTCTGGAGCGCACAGTGAGGAAGATGAGGCAGAGAGGGCCCCCGCTACCCAGTGTGGTGGCGCCTCAGGGCTGAGAAGGGCATCATCCAGGCCCTGCAGCCACTGGTGAGCCTCGATCTCATCGAGAGACGCACGGCGACAAGGATCCTTCTGCAGCATCCTGGAGATCAAACTGAATATAAAAAATGGATTAAATTAAAGCTGGGGTGTTGTGTAAAATGTAAGTTATGAAAAGAATGATTAACGAACCTTATAAAGACAAATGCTATTCACAATTTCACATAGTAAAAGTAGTCATATGAGCATCCTCAGAAATTGTAATATCCAGCCCCCACTCCCACCCATTCAAAAAAGAATCATTTTGAATTTGATGCCCACAAGACATCTTGTCTGGTTCTAGTTGTTCCATTATCCTTGGTCCTTTGATTGAGTGTTTAGTGTGAGAAAGCTTGGATTGTTTTCACCGCAACATGTCAGCTCATCGACTATAAGCTGTGGTGTTATAATAATGTGGGTTTTTATTGTCTTGCCGAGATGTACAGAGTGTTCCCAGAAAAAAAAGATGTTGTCTAGAGGGGAGCATTCACTCATCTGCAACTCTGTTAGGCTCAACTAGTACTTGTCAATATAAACGTTGCATAAGCCAATCAATTGGCAGCAATTTAAAGCTGGATGTAGGGAAGACAGCTTAGAGAAATCAAACTACGTCAGAGAGAAAGAAAAACTTTTAGCTTGGTGTGGTTGTTGGTACCATTTGGGCTGGTATTGTCTGAGTGGTAAAAAAGCTGAAATGGTGTGAAGGTGTGGGGAATATGTTGTCAGCACTCTTGAGGCCCGTTAGGATCCAGTGAGCACAGCTGAAATATTACAACCTGTAACAATTCTGTCGATTTTATGAAACGTCCCGACGTTTGCAATCCTTTTGTAAAGTCGCACATAAATTGACTTAAACTGGCTTCAATCTATGCCCTCGCCATACTGCTATCTTCTGTGTTTGAGACCTGCATGTGTGAAGGAACGCGTTTCTTCTCAGCTCTGTTCCTAATTATACATCATGTGAATGATGATGTTTAAGGTCACATGATAAATCTAGTGTCAGATGTTGCAGAACATCTTTGCAAATGACCCGTTTGGTTGGAGGAATAAAAATAAACAAGAAAAAGTGTTTAAAGGTGTTTATTCAAAAAGCTGTAAGAGCCAGACAAGAAGAATAACTTTTGTTTTTTTGCTCTTAAAGCAAAGTTTGTGAATCACAGGTTTCACTTCTTGCATTAAGCCTCAAGAAAATCAAATTACCTGTTGTGATTTTTGCATTTAAAAAAAAAAGAGAAAGAAAGAAAAACTTGAAACAGCTAATCGTCCAGATTTTCTTGATAACACAAGGCTTTCTTGCAGCAATGTATGAAGAATCATACAGATGCAGCAAATAAGTGGAGGAGCTGGATCTTTAAAATTATCTATATTGCTGACATGGCTTTTTGAATTTGTTCTGTGTTTCAGGTGTAGTTTATTTCTTTGTTTTGTCAACACAGAGGGAATAAAAATCTGCAATGTAGTATAATTTTAGCGTCCATTTTTTTTCCTCCTTTCAGTTCACCCTGCTGCTCCAGGAGCCGGGAGAACAGTGTGTGTGTGTGTGTTTTGGTTTGAGGTGTGAAGGATGAAGGTTAAGTGTGAAGACAGACATGCATGCTCGAGTTGTATGACTGACGATGACGAACTGTGGGTTGGGGTTCACAGATGTTAATGACAATGTTATGGTCAGTTTTAGCCCAAACTGAATTTGCAGCAGGCTGGAGAATTAAATAATTGTATGTAAAAAACAAAACAAACAAACAAACAAAAAAAAACCCCACATCTATAAACATCAGCACACCACTTCAAGTTAGGCAAAAGTCACAACACAGCTGTTGCCCTAAACTTGCTCATATCTACAGCTAGAGATGTGATTATAAAGTTTCAAAGAGCTAAAACTGTGACAAACAATGCTGAATATGAGCCACATGTCACTGTCACCATCCACAGTAAACAGGATCATAAAGAAGGTGATCAACCGTTGGTGAATTGCATTAAAAAAAATAAAAAAAAATCACAAAGTCTCCATCAGTGTCATTGGGCACCATCTGCATGGCAACAAATTATTGGGGAAGCGAGCTGGGAAACATTTTTCTCTCCTACTTTTAAAATATCTAAACTTGAGGACTTTGATAATCATTCTAGGTATTTTGTTGGAGCGTTGTGCTTTATTTGGAGGAGAGGCAGTTGGTGAAAAACTTGGTGAGAAACAAAAGACGGTTTGTTGCAAAAGCACCTCATGGCCACTGTTAAGCATGGTGGAGCGTCTATGATGCTGTGGGCATTTTTTTCTTTTATAAAGGCAAGCGCATAGAATTTTGACATTTCTGAGATATTAGCACTTTTTTAAGAAAATCTGGTGGCCTCTGCCAGTAAACCAAAAATTGGTCATCGCTGGGTTTTTCAACTGGAGTCCAAATCAACAGAAATGGTTGACCCGACACAAAATTAACCCCAGTTTCGCAGCCATCCTGGGAGTCGGAATTAAATCTTGTAGAAAACCCAAAGAGAAGAGAGCAGAACGCAAGAAGCAGGACTGTGGGTGCCCAGGGAGAAACAGTAAAAGCATTGTGAAATATTACAGCGAAAGGAGCAAAAGAAGGTTTTACAATCTTAACAGCAGGGGCCAATAATTGTAGCACAGTTGATTTTGTATAATACTTCTTCCTAGCATGGGATTTTTATCCACTGAATACAAGAGGTCTAATTACAAGTTGGATTTCTGTAAATGTTTAAACGTTCGATTAAGGTACTGCAATAAAAAATAAAATAAAAAATTCCACATGTGTACGAGTGGCACAACAAATATTAAAAATGACTTGATGTTGTCATGTATGGATGGATTATAACTCGTCAGTGTACTCACTCTCTGCAGCCGTCTGAAACGTGTTCGGGGACGGAGTAGCGACAGTCCAGAATCATGACCAGAGTCTCGCTGTCGTTGGTTTCCTGGAAGGGAGGGACTCCACAGACCAGCATGTACAGGATCACACCAAGAGACCAGATATCTGGAACACACAAGTCTTAGTGAGCAATCGGAGCCACTGATTGAAATAAAGAAAATAACTCGTAGGGAATAGTTTAACAGTTTCCTATATCTAAAATGAAAGAATCCCACAAACGAGGGGAACAATGCTACAACATGAGAAAACTACACCAATTGTGTTACAAAGTATAAGCTAGATCAGGTTTGTGCAGCATTTTCACTGCTGAATAGAAACATGGGGACTCTTTGTTTATCTCCTTAAAGGAAAAAGTATTTTTAAAATATACATGTAAAATGGCTGAACATTAGTTTCGCTTACTTTAAAATTTCCTAATAAGACATGAGCTGTCTTATTAGGAATGTTTTTTGTTGTTTTTTTTGTTCGTTTTTATTGAAGAGATTAAGAGCTGAACATGAAACTTTCCAGTATCTGACTTAGTTAAATTCCTAATTAGCGAAAGGGGAAACGTCTGAGTGAAGCAAGCTGCAGACGACTTGGATGGAAAACATGATTGGAAAAAAAAAAAAACAGATTCATACGTTAACCACTTGTGACACTTCTGTTCTTTTTCCCGTCTCCTCCCTTTCCTTCCTCTGGCATCCTGGTGCAAGCGTGGTTTTAATGCAGACTCAGGACAGCGTGAGCCAGACGGGAACACGCACTCGAGCTGAGCTGAAGGCTGAAGGCCCGTAACAAACAGAGGCCTCCTTGTGGTTGTGTGCTATTCTGAGAACGATCATCCTTCTGTCTTTCCTGCCTCTCTCTGTGTTTCTCCCAAACACTGGAGGCAGGAACACAGGCACATAATGTTCACTTCCAGTTTTAACCCCGGCGTGGCACTAGAAATATCACACACATATCTAGGTTTGTGAAGATACTAAAGACTTTTATAAACATTAAAAGATACTCCTTACTTTGTTCTTGGAGCTTCTTCTAGTTTTACCATGAGTTTTAGCTTATCTTAGTTAAAAATAATCAAATAAAACTAACATGCAAAGGTGCCTTCTAATCAGGAGCAAGACACTATGAGTTAGTTGTACGACAATCACAATATGAAATTTCTACATACTCAAACATCTTTTTGCAGTTGTGTGCAACTACAGTTTTATTTTTCAGAGATTCTGACCATGTGAAAAATGCTAATTATTCATGCTAACTACTTTGTGCGTCTCTTTTACGTTTTAGCACGCAATATGAAAGCCAGACTTTTTAGCTTGATGCATGATGCTTTATTCCGATTCAAAATGGATCCATTCATGGACACAATCGATAAGTTTCTCCTCTGTCCAGGGACTCGCATTACTGGGAGCAGCGCTGATGAAGCATTCAGGCACTGTCCCATATTAAGCTCATGAGGGCCCAAACAAAAGCCCTCAGTTCTCCTCATACAATGTACACTCAAGCGCACGTTCACCTCCATCCAGAGCTGCGTTACGCAACAGGGAGGAGAAACCTCTTGAGTGCTGGGAGTGCTTTCCTCTCACTGGGGAATATCACACATTCCCACCACACATTAGTGGGGCCGCTGACGGCACACACACACACACACACACACACACACACACACCCACACACACACACACACACACACACACGGCATCTGCTAAACGTATAAATATGTCAGGGTTTACAGTGCCTTGGTCAAGCATTCGCAACCTGTTAGCTTTGTAGCTTTTGGTCATATTACCACAAATTTTTATGTGTTTTATTGAGATCTGATGTAATAGACAAAGTAAAGCATCATTTTGGAATAAAAATTACGTTCTTTACTAATTCAAATCTTCAATCTTGTGGCACTTGTATTCAGAACCATTTTTGAATCCTATATCAAATTTGGTCCAATCCATTTCTTTGAAGGTTTAAACATATGAAAACACTGATCACTCTATCAACAGAAATCAGAGTTTGATGCAATTATAAACTAAATCAAATTAGGAATCTGAAAATTCATGTTCACAAATACTGTGCAGAAAAATAACAATAACAATTGGACTGATATTGTCCAATTGTCCAGTGAAAGAAAATAGTTTAGCAAGCCATATATAATTTCTGTGTTATTACACAATAATGACCCTCATCAAATTGCAATTAAATAATTAAAATAAAAGCTTGCAGTTGCAAACCGACAGACTGTGAAAAAGGGTTGAACAGGTCGGATAATACTGAGAATTTTGCAGGACTGGCTCAAAGTTCAGCAGCAGATCCTGGCTCTGTGGGTTTATTAGACAGGCACTTCCTTTCAGGTGCATATTTCAAGGGCAAATACGTCATAAAGGGTCCGTTACAACAGGCCATCCAAGTTCAGACGGAAAAAAAAAAAAAAAGGCGTCGTTTGGCGTATATTCGGGAGCTGAAGCCAGACCGGGCTCACGCCTTCCTTCTGGTCATCAGTAATGTGGAATGTATGAGGAAAGTGCACTAACAATACCCTCTGATTCATTGAGTATGGCGGACTGATAAGGAACATTTTTCATTTTACAAATTACATAACTAAAACAATTTCACTTTCACCCTTCATTCTCAGTCCTAACTATGAATGTCATATGTTCCTATTAATCTACCAGTTTGTCCTCTAGGAAGGCAGCAAAAGGCTTTTCATAGCTAAAAAAAAACCTGACGTTCTTTTTATGGGGTACACAACAACAACAAAAAAAAGGTATCCGGTCTGGCATGGGAAGACCTGGGAAAGAGTGGGTTTCCCTCTTGGACCGTCTGACAAGACTTCAGATAAGCAGAGAACAATAGAAAAGAAATATGTACCTGAACGCTGCATAAGAATCCAGCCAATCTGAAGCAGCAATAAGTTGATTTTGGTTTGGAAGTAAAAGATTTTTGTGGCAAATGTTTTACCTTGAACACTGTCAAGTAGGTTATTATGTTAGCTTGAGGTGACAAGTAGGGCTGAAACGATTCCTCGAATGATTCGAGTACCTCGATTACTAAAAT